GGGGGGGGGGGGGGGGGGGGGGGGGGGGGGGGGGGGGGGGGGGGGGGGGGGGGGGGTCACCACGTAGTTGCTTTGTTTCGTTTCACGGAGCGGAGGCCGGACGGCGATGCAATGTAAAGACGACATCAAGCACGACAACCAGAAGCAAGATCATGCCTTAGAGGCGACTCTCACGACGGGGTCAAGGTGTTGGCCAACCCGGCGTTCGCTTCGCCACGCGATGGCTGGATGTACGAGTGGCGATGTCCTTCCGCGTACAGTTGGTTCCCAAGCCCCGTCCCTCTTATGGTGCTGCTCAAGTGTTTCTCAAGTGTGGACAAACAAGTCGCCACTACTCAACAGAAGTTTCCGCCGCCGCGACGTGGTGTACGTCTGGACGAACGCCCGCCTGTGTGGCTAGCATAAGCACGACGTCAAACACACAAACTACAGTCCTTGAGCTACACTTCAAGGCCAGGAACACACCGCACGACGCACCCCCCCTAAACCTGAAAAGCGCGCCTCTGCTGCGTACAGGGCGATAACTCACGCTGTGCTTGCTGCCGTCGTCGGCCCGCGGGGAAATTTCCAACAAAAGCGAAAAATAAAAAAAGTCTTGCCCCTGCCATGAGGATTGACAGCAGAAAACGAACGAAAAAGACCAAAACTGGCCCATGACATAAATGTATGAGAAAAGACCGAATTACATGCCACCGCTGTTGCCACCAAAAAAAAAAAGAAGGTGCCGCTCTGTTGCCTCTCCCGCTGGCCTCTCACCCTCGCCGTCGTTCTCCTGAGGGCGGCCTTCACGTTGTGGAAGAACTCGCTGAAAGTCCTCTCCGCGGCGAGCGCACCGGACATGGCGTCGTCACCGTAGTCCATTGGGGTGTTATACTTATGCAGCAGGAACAACAGCCGGATCTGATCGGGGAGAAGGGCGGAAGGTAACTAATGTTTTGCATGCTTTAGCTCCTAGGCCATTGAACGCGCGTCCTCGAGAGGACGGAGTATTGTTCCCACAGGACCGATCGGCGCACGGGGGGGACAAAGCCCGAACAGCCTGAGGGCGAGGGGGAGGTTACTTGCACATACGCTTTTTCGCTACTGCTGGTAGATTATTGTTCGGCCGATTGGGCCCGTCAGTGTATTGAGAAATCTTGTCGTGTACTGCAATGTACTGCAGCGGCGGGGATGAACGAAACAATCGGACGCGAACGTGATCCTGATCGTATGTGGGGCGGCGTCATCGGAAGGAATAAGACTCAACACCGGAATGACCAAAATTTTCGAGTGTTCGTCAACTGAGAAGTGGTACGGGTATCGACAACATCAACAGCAACAACAACAGCAATAACGCGTGTATGAGTAACTTTTGGGGGACAAGGACGTCGTTCGTTTCCCCGGCCGCTTCACCCGTAACAACCAACCCGTCCTCACCTGTCGCGACGAGTGCTCCTGCAGGGCCTGCTTGATGGTGATGAAGTTCTTGAGGCTCTTGGACATCTTGAAGCCCTTGATGTGCAGGTGGCCAGTGTGCAGGAAGTAGTTCACCCACTGGCAGCAGTCGTACTTAGCCTCCGCCTGACGGGGCAAACAACAAAACGGAAGAGCGCACGACCGGCCGAAGGAGGTGTAAGATAGAAGAAAAGAAAAAATGCCGCGCGAGACGGGCATGGGGGAAACGCATAAAGGCGCCACGTGGCGTAGATCCTTGAGCGCCTTGGCCTCTGCGTAACGGAAGCGTTGGAATCGGGGAGAGCAGAGAACGAATCTGCCGAACGAGGTAGGCAGAGGAAGCTGGCCGCTAACAGCTTTGCATAGCTGACCTGGGCCATCTCGTTGTCGTGGTGCGGGAACTTGAGGTCGACGCCTCCGGAGTGGATGTCCATCGTGCTGCCACAGCAAGGTAACACAAACAGAGAGAGAAACACCATGCAAACATAAAACAGTAAGACGACGCATGCATGCCTCTCTCAAGATGCCTGAAATGCGGCCCTTTTCATCCCGCCGAAGTGTCGTACCAGAATCATTGCCAGCCTACGGACTGACCGTGCCAACACTGCCACCACCACAGTTCCCAGTCTCTCGAACATGAAAAAAATATCACGACAACCCCATCTCGTAGACGATCGCGCTTCACGTGCGATAGGCCACGCGGATGGACAACAAAATCACTGTTGTAGGGCTTCATTTTTGTCTCGTCGGCGGCAACAGATGTTGCCCCGAACACGCAGCGCGCTTGCTCTCAACTTTGACCCTTTGATGCACTCACGCCTGCAACCAACCAACCAACCACAACCCCCATCACACAAAAACACATGATTCCACGTCGTACACATATATCCTCCGTCTCTCTCTCACCCGTCTCCCATCCCCTCGAACGTAGCGCTCGCCATAACGCTGCACTCGATGTGCCACCCGGGCCGCCCGTCGCCCCAGGGGCTCGGCCAGCTGGGCTCCCCCTCCCGGCTGCGCTTCCAGAGCGCGAAGTCCCCCGACGACCTACGGTATGGTGCGTGAAACAAACACGGTTAGTTTGGAAATACCACGGTAAACACCATGGTGAAGTTTTGCACTGGCCACGAAGGCGCAATTATCTTTGGTGCTTTTCGAATCGGGAGAAAAAAAAACGATGTTGAGCTGGAGTTTCGGGAACACGGTTAGTTTTACTGTGGTGCAGATCAATACCGGCCACCAGAGCGCGATTTTCGGAAGCTTTCAAATATTCAGGGAAAAAACAACAAAATATTGATTTGGTCACCGCAGGAGGTACGTTTCCACGGCGAGTTTTCGTTACAACGCGCAAACGGGGCGTTCGAGCCCGAGATAGGAAAGACTGAAAAAAAAAGTGGACCAAATCAGCCTGGTGTTCGTACTCGTACGAATTATAAATGAAACGCAGGAAACCATCCCTTAACAAAACAACATTGAGTCTTAACTTCGGTTGCTACAAAGGGCACAACAGCAAAATATGTAGCTCACGATACGTCCGTTATTTGCCCAATCCGTTGTTTAGGTGATGTTCAAGCTAGTTTGGGAGACACGACGGAAAGCGGTATACTAGTGTTGAAATTGTCGTGGAAGAAACGTTTTACAGAAAGCGCTCACGATACTGTACCACTCGAATTCGTTCAAGTCAGATGACATAGGCAGCTGAAAACAAGTAAACGAAAGATCAATTTGGGTACAACTCCACCAAGTCAACACCGAACAACGCGAATGAAAACCGAAAAATGTCCCGAAGCAAAGCTCGGGGCGCAAAACTGCTATTTCTATGGTTCTTGGGGTGGGCTGCGTGCGGTGTCGCAAGTAACAAAAAAAACGCCGCAAAACAAATCTTGCAAGGGGGCCGCGATCGGAGGTAAAAGTCTGACCTCTTGTCGCCGGCCCCTAGGCTGAGCGCACCCTCCCCTTCCGCCATGAGCTCCCCGTTGCCGACCCCCTCGGGCAAGAGCTTGGCGTACGCGTGCCCCTTCTTTCCGTCGAAAGACTTGGCGGAAACGAGAAGAACACCAAGGAAAAGGCGGCGTTGCAACGAGGAAGAGGGACAGGGGGGGGGCGTGGTCAAAAACGAATCATGACACGCGGTCTTGTAGCGTCGTTGCTGGATCATCGGCGTGTGACGTGAGGCCCCCGCTCCTTCAAAAACAGGGGGGTTGGACTAACGAGTTGCCAAACGGCGGACTGGAAAGGCTGTTGCACCCCGCCTCCTCTTCCCCCAAGGGCGACCGGAACGCAGTCGGAGTGTACCCATTCCTCGCCGATCGCGGTAGGCGTGCAGCGGCCACATTTCACTCTCACAGCATTGAGGAATCACTTCCGCCAGGCCTACCACATACCGCGGCGGCAGGCGCCTGACCTTGAAAGCGGCTTTCGCCCTCCGTCATTCACCGCACTGCTATTTGGAACGCGTCTTGGGCATGATAGCTAGCTGCCTAACGATGATGAGTCAACCAGGCCCCCCGCCCCCGTTGGCGCATGGCGACAAGTGGGCAGAGAAAAGCGTTGGAAAACAGCGAGTGATCGGGCTGGTGCAGGTGGTGCTGGTGCTGCTGGTGCTGGCGCTGACCTGAACGTTGAAGTAGACAGAACCGTTCGACTCGTAGGCGTAGCCGTTGTCGATGATCCCTTGGATGTACTCCACCACCTGATGGCCACGCACACGCCGCGGCAGGCACACGGGAGCAAAGGTGAATGCAAACGTCGCACCAACAGAGGAAACGAAAGCCACTTCAAAACAAAATCGCGGCGGAAGCCGAGGTCGATAGAAAGCAAAGAGCGAGAAAGCCGGCAAGGACATCCTCCAACATGCGGCGGAATAGCCAGGCAGAATCCGAGGAAATACCAACAGCGCAAACGCCCGCTTTTTCTCTCGATCTGCGCGCTACTCGAGAGGGGGGGAAATATCGGGAGACGGCCGGTCCAACAGCAAAAAAGGCGTAAGCATGAGCACCTTCCCCTCTCCACCTTGTCCCTCTCTCCACGGGCCCCCGAAAGCACCGAAAACGCCAACAGCAGTCCTCTCGTCCTTTTCTCACCTCCGGGATGAACTCGCTGACGCGTGTCACCACGGTGGGGGCGCGCACGCCGAGCAATGCCATGTCCTGCATGTAGTCCTCCTCAAAGTGGGCCGCCAGCTCGCGATAATTTTGCCCGCCCTGCCCCACACCCGCGCGCCCGGAAAGGCACGTGCGAAAACGTGGAGAGAGATGTATGCCCACCCGATTGATACCCGGGGAGACGGACGACAGGCCGACAGAGACGGGGGGTGGGAGAGAGATAGAGGGACAGAGAGGGACAGAGAGAGAGACCGAGAGAGAGACGGAGACAGGGAGAGATAGAGATGCAGAGAGATAGCAGAGACAGAGACAGAGACAAAACGACAGACAAATAGACGAAGAGCGAAATGATTAAACCTAGCTCCGCGGTTCGCATCCATCCACGCTGCAGAGAGAGCCTTTATCCGAGCAAGCGATGAAAAAAATTATCGAAATCCAAGGCCGTCCAGCTATAGCATCGCTGAAAACGCGGTATTCAGGCTGACAGGGACGCACCTCGTTGGCCCTGGTAATGATCTTGTCATCGATGTCGGTGATGTTCATGCACAGGGACACGTCGTACCCGAAGAAATCAGTCATCACGCGCCGAAGGATATCGAAGTGCAGGTATGTCCGCGCTGAGAGCGGCACAAGGACGCGTCGGAAAGAACAGCAGAGCGTTTGTAAGGAGAGACGAAAATGTCTTTGCCGCAAGAAAAAAGCAGGAGGGATGCAGTGGCTTGGGCCTTGATCAGACGCTACAAACGATTGAAGCCACGTGTGATACATTTAAGGAGTATTACAAAAACTCTTTCCCTCCAGGGTGTTAGGCTGCGTTTTTTGTCGCCCCCTGCTACACGTCTTTACAGCACCGGTCGAGGGACAGACCGGGTTCACCACCCGGCCTTAGACAGGTACGCGCGGTTTATCCCGCTTTCTCTCTTTCCGATCGTGTCTTCGTGCCCCCCTTTACGCTCTCCTTGTCTCTTCTACGAATACAAGTATCGGAATGCCAACGACGTCACCTCCGCTGATGAATTAAGAAGGGCGCCTTTAGCGCTTGTCTTCGGTGCCCCGGAGATGTCAAACCTAGACCATCATCCTGACGTACACCCGGCAATGGTGTGTTCGTGCGAGCAACAAAAATCATCCCTACGATATTCAAACTCACCAGAGACCACAGCGTGGACAAAACGCCCCCCCCTGCCCCCCCCCGAGACTTTTATCTCTCTCTCTCGGGGATGGTCTCACCGTGGCCCATGTGGCTGGGGGCGTAGACAGTGGGTCCGCACATGTACCACAGCACCCGGTTGGAGTCTTTAGGCACAAACCGAGTCTGCCGCAGGCGACAGGAAAGGGGGGCGAGGGGCGAAGAGAGGGAGGAGGGGTACATAGACAGGAGTTGATGACGAGGAACAGCGTACAAAAACATTGGCCGGTACCTTGTAAGAGAGGAAGGCGACCAAGGTTGCTGGAAGCGACAGGGGAGAGGCAGTGGGATTCCGGTCAACACCTGAAACGCACGATGGACAGCTGTGCATTGCCGTCTTTGTGACGTGCCCCATCAGGGCAAGTCCTGCCCGCATTCTCTCTCCGCCCCTAGCCTACCGATTCGGACACGAAGCGTTCCAGAGACACGTGCAACGCTGTACCCGAGGTTTGTCTTGTGAGTGGTACTGCTCACGACGTGAAACCCTCCACCGCGGGATAATAACGCTGTTGAGCGCGTGTTTTCTTGTCTAGGTGAGCCCGGGGACCTGAAACTAAACCCATACTCATTCTTGCGTGTTCACGGTCAACGTCCTGCCGCACGACCGGTTGTGGCGTGTTCGTGTGAGCGACACGAATCACCGCTACAATGTGGTGCGATATTTAAACTCGGCAGGGACCACAGGTGCGGACAAACTGCCCGTGCAATGTTCGCGACAGTTGGAGAAAGTTCCACGGCCTTCGTGCGGGTATTTTCGCCGATGCCAACGTTTTGGCAGATAGAGGACTGCATAACATACCACCGCGGTAACTGTGCACGTAGGGCACGTGCATCGTGCGCAGAACGAACGCGCTAGCGACACGGGGCACAGCCAGTTAGGTACAAGAGTGGACTTCAGCTTCGGACTGCAGCCTAAACGGCGGAATCTGTAGTCTATTTGTACCAAGTGCTGGTTGCATAGTCTACTGAGATTTCACACACTCGTTGCCGCATTGGAACACTAATGAATGATTGCTTACCCAGTAAGCGGAGAATTGAGGGGAGATCCGCGTCATGAGGTGCCAGACTGCTGTAGGCAAAGCACTTACAGCTCCGCTAATGCAGCAGAGCTGAGCCTGACAGCTCTGTGCAAACCGCTCGTCCTCGCGTGTTCCACGTTCCGCACCACAGCTTGCAAACGCAACAACACTCTGCCACACGAGAAGAGCGACACACACACAACGACCACCACATCAGCAGCGCAATGACCTTTAGTCTACTGCATACCTTTGTTCTCGTTAGCGAGTTGAAGACTTTGAGAGGATACATCCTGTCCATCATCTCCGTCAAGCCTCCTTCGCCGAGCGGTCTCGGAGGCACCCACGTGGGCATGCCGGCCTTCTTGCATCCCTCCCCCGCTTCCCCGGCAGTCGCCATGACGGAAGTCAACGCACACCTTCGATGTGGTATTTCCACCCGGCGGTCACGGCAGTGTGTGTTGTGGCTCGCGTGTGCTGCTGTGTGCGAGTAACAAGCGTTTGGGCTGGAGAGCAGCATCCACAGGAACCGTTCATGGGGGGCTCGATGGACTGTACTTTGCCACTACCTATTACAATTCTGCGTTCCCCCACATGGCAAACCTCCTCGGCATATTGCGTCACATACATAAGTGCACATCATCACAAAGCAGCGGTGGACACGCGGTAGCCACATGGCGAGTGCGACGAGGGGAGCAGAGGAGGAGGTGTTTGAGACGCCCGATGTTGCGGAGGATGGACTCGAGCAGCGCTCGGAAGCTGAAATACCGAACTCAACCCTGTCGAAAGCAAGCAACAAGGTACGGCAGTCTCTCCTGGGTTGCAACAGCAGTGCATCATGGAACAGATCGGGAACCACCGTTGTAGCTTTTCCAAGTTGGCCGAACAAATCCGTGGGGCGGTAGTGGCCGCTTTCGGTCTTGCCTTGCTTGCGATGCATCACGTGTTCACCTTGCTGCAGGCAAGAGGAAGCCTTTGAGCCAAGTTGCGGCTAGATTACCCAATTCAAAAAGTTCCAACTGCTCAACATCATGAAGTCCACACACAAGACAATTCCTTCTGCGGTATGATACGTGTTTAGCGTTGCACGTGCCGTGTGGGGTGAGCACACCCACCGCAGTCGACCTCAGCAATGGCGTCGCAAGAGACGCTGATGCTGTTCTGTGGGGAGAGGCCGGACTGCTGTTGTTAGGTTGGGGTGATGGTGGGCATGTGTACATGGCGCAGAGACATGAGATTCCACACAACCAATGGACCGACTCTCGAGGCTCGACTTCTCACAGCAGCACGAATCGCGGTGCCGAAAACGACGGCGTTGATAGATCTCCACCAAAGCATGGGTTCATCTATGCATCCTTTTTCGTCGTGGAGCATGCGATTGTTGCAAATGGTTCAGAGGGCGCATTATCTTGTGCCTACAACAGCACGAATCTTTGCTGAGGTGCCGCTCTTGCTCTGTCCTCAGTGTCGTATTCCCCCGCCCGCTGTGTTCGACCAGAAAAGTTTGTTATTATTAGTCAGTTGTCAGCACACCAACATCATTCCCCGAGGCGTGGAATGTCAAAACGACACCGCATGCCATTTTACTACATTTTACCCATCTCTGCCGACGAACTTATGGCGAAGGTTGTTCGTTGTCTTCCTTGCTTAACCTTATCCTGCTCGTGCTTCATCCACATAGCTACGTCGACTGGGCTAGCCCCCTACGAATTGATCTCCATCCGTTTCGAAACATGTCAGGTGCCGGATGCAGAGGTGGTGGAATCCTTCGTGCCTCCCCAGGCAGCCTTCGAGGTGAGCCTCTCCATAACGTGTCGTAACGGTCGACGTTGATTAATTTTGCCGTCTAGCCTTCACCACCACCTCACAACTCGACTTGTAGCACATGTCGAGCCGCAACGTCCCCCTTTCTACCAATTTCTCTTCACTCTCTCTCTCGATCCAGAGAGAGGAGTGTGTGTGTGTGTGTGTGTGTGTGTTTTTATTATAGCATCGACCGCGCTAACCGGCTGACCAATGAAAAGACGTCAGTCTTAGTGCGGTTGAAAACACAAAACACTTCT